CCCTTCCCTCCGTTGCTTTGGCTGCCATCTGCAGCAGGAAGGGACCTTAGCAAATCTCCTCTGCCAGTTTTCAGCTAAAGCAGCTCTCAACATCCCTCTTTTGTTGGGGAGAGGCAGCACCACTGGGGTATTGTAGGCACCAGCTCCTTGGTGCTGGAAGGCTCTCACGTTCCCCCCTACCTTATCAGTACTAAACGTGAGCTGGGTGTCCAACTGAGCCCTGAAAGATAATTATAGAATCACAGTGCCATATGAGTCATTTTTCAGAAAAGAACTGGGTTTTTTTGAGATGAAGAGTCAATGAATTGTAAATAAGACAGAATGACATCTACATAAAGCACGAACAAAACTGTCCTTCTAAGCAACAAACTGTCAAGAGAGCCTGGGAAGCATGTTTGCTGTGTGTCTAAGTGTTAATGACCTACGCTTAGGGCACTCATTTGAGTGTAATTATTTGTAATGACCATTTTTTTCTGTGGAAAGCCTAGAAAAACACTGTTTTCTCCTATTCTGTGTGTGTAGGCTTACATGCCCTGTTCCAGAGCCAGCTGAGAGCAAAAAGGGTTGGTTGGGCTGCAGTAGCTCCCTGAACGCCACATGCCATACCTAGGTGGAGGTTAGGACTTAACCTTCCCCTCAGAAAGCCCTACGGCTAGACTTTCTCCTAAAGGCCCTTGGGTTTGTGAACCTGTTTGTCCCATTCAGGGGACAGGAAATGTCTAGGTAATGACTGCAAGATCAGAGAATGCCTCTGACTACAGCCATCAGCTCCAGGTGGCCTGATGCCTACCCAGAGTGCCCAGGACAGGGCCACCAAGACAGGCTAGCAGGGCCATGGAAAGCAGTTTGGTTCTGCTAACGTGGTTTTATTTCTTTCTAGAGTCAACCTGGATATTTCTATATGATGCTGCCTTATCTAGTGTAGACATACCACACTTTTGGCCACGCACTGCTGGTTATCGCAACTGTACCTCAGTTTTATCTCTTGAGCCTTTTGTACACATGGCTTATTAAAATGCTTCAAGCATTTAACCTGTTTATTATTTCGGAATTATCTCATCAAAAGGACCATGGCACAAAATTAAGGAGATTTAATAAACAAATTCTCCACAAAAGAGCTAGCACAATGCTACACCAGAAACTCTATCTTGGAAAATTTTGCAAACAGATTTTAATTGTCCTATTCAAATAATAGCATTTTATATATAAATAGGATATTTTATCCAAAGACCTTCAAACCCTACTGCTGCTTTCCAGTTTTTTAGATTAAACAGGTATGGTTGCTTTATGACCAAAAAAATGAATTCCAGCAAGCAAGAAAAGTGTTTTAATAACTGAAAATTTATATTCTTACAATATTTCCAGACATAAGCAAGTTGATCAAGTATTAACAATATCTCTTCTCAGCCAGAATTTTGTGCCCCTAGCTTTCTGGGCATCAGTTTTGTTTTAAAGCCAATTTAAACTAGTTAAAGATAACAAACAATTATCTTATAAAATTATGGAAAATCTAACTAATTTTAATTATCGCAGCTATATGAGAGGGATTAATTCTCTATCAAAAGAGTAGAATATGCTAGAGTATTTAATTATATCTCCTCCTGATTGGATATATCTTTCCTTTCTTTTTATGATTCTGTTTTACAGAGGTAGGCTTTTATTTCTATATGTTGAGATAGTATTTGTCCTGTTATTATAATTTTCATTTGAATTTAGAGAAATAGGAGTGCATGTCATATCAATTTATAAAACTCTTCAGTATTTGAAAGTTTTTTCTATAACAAAGTGTTATGTGCTTAAGATACCTACTCATAATTAAAATGCTTTTAAGTAACAATCATTACATATCCTGTATTATTGCTCAGAAATATAATTTTAAAAGTCATTAAGCTAAGAAACACTTTTCTATTTTCAGGGACATCATAGGTATATAGAATATTGTTGTTTGAATTCACAGAAGAAAAAAACCTCTTGTTTTTCAACAGGATTCTGCATAAAATACACAAACTCATCCCAGTTTTTAAACACACGAGTGAACAAAGGCGGTGCAGGGGAGACCAACTGCAGACAGTGATGCTGATCACACTTACGGGTACATGCCATGGTCGGTGGGTCTTTCTCAGCTCGGAAGTACCCTTTCTCACACTGGCACACAGACGTTGCTTCCACATAGGTGAGGCTGTGGGGAGGGCACTTGGAACACTTCACATTCCCAGCAAATGCCTTATAGAACCCAGGCCTGCAGGCTGCAAAACAAGAAAACCAGGTTTCATGAATAGTAGCAAGTCTTGGTCACAAGTAACATCTGTCCCACGTATTTATAACGCATCCTCTCTCCTTTCTAGGATTTATAGGCAGCCATCACCGCTTCTTGAATTTGTCAGCTAGAAAATTTCATGTCACATTAGTAAGACATTCGTATCACTAAATACAAGTGTATGGTTTATGTTGATTATGTTGTTTGCCAATAAGGCAAAATGGGTGGGATAGTTTATTATATCCTACAGTTATTCGTAAGGCCTCCATATTGAAGCAATGGAGACTGGCAATGTGTTGGTGTGTTAACTCTCACAGTACTTTGACAAGGACTGGGGTGACCTTATTCCTGCACTCATTGGTAGGTTTGACCTGCCCACAGTCCTGTGAGAAACCTCTGACAGAAGGAGCTCAGTAGTTGGGTCCTCTGCACCTCCTGGCATGAGGGGCTAGGAGGTGCTGGCATAACCACTGCTGGGGATGCAGGAAGGAGGTTCTGCTCTACTGCAAGCCTGAGGCTGCTGCTCTTTGTGCCAGGAAACAGCCTGGAGATGGGGGACGTTGAGATGGTCAGAGCTCACCATGTCCCAGTTACTTGGAGCAGAAGGCCCTCTGGTTCTGGATGAGAGCACAACCTTTCTGCTGGTCTTACAAAGCAGAAACATTTCATTGAAATAAACCCAATCATAAATCTATCAATCAGATTTGCATTATGCAATATCATTTTAAAACCATCTTCTGACTTCATCACACATGTTTAGACTGAAATTTATTTCTTCCTTTCTTCTACCAGCTACCACATTTACACAGGCCAATATGTGTACCTCTTTTTCCACTGTTTTATAACAGTTACTGTCTTACGACTTCTCAGCCAGAAAACAGAACTGAAACAAATGACAGAGCAGCTCAAAAATGCATAGACTGCACAGTCTCACAACCCTTCTGACTCCCCCAGCAGCAGGACAGGAGCCATTGCTATAAATACAATTTTGAAGATTCATGTACTGTTTCTGATTTTGACATATTCAAGCCCATCTTTATACTGCTACAGGAACTAGGTGGTATTTTCTTCTCTCGCCACAGGCCAAAATGACAATATTAAAATAAGGTCTTCTATAAATAAAACTACCAAAGAATAAGCAGTTCTACAGATTCACTGTCAATTCATATTAAGTTACTTATTAAAAATATTAACTTATAGATAACACATCAGTTCTGATTCCAAAAGACTTGAAACAAAGGCAGTTGCATTAGCAGCTGAGGGCAGAGTGAGAAGATGGGACTGGGAAAGACAGCAGCTAATTACCTATCAGAATCCAGGAGCCAATTTTTCAGATGTAATTTGAAGAGCTTAACTTTGACCCAACAATTTCAGCAGTTCTCCCAACGTGCTTCTCTGACTTTGCTGAATAGACAGCGGGGAGGAATCCTGCCCTGCTGTCACTGAAGAAAAAATGTAAGTATTTCTGGTGTCAGAGATAAGACGGGTGGGAACTGCAGGGGTTTTCCATTAGAAAGAAGACTACCAGTTGGATACAATTGTGATTAGAGTCGGTGGCAATTTTCCACTGATTGGAATGACAGCAGGTTTGGCTCAAGGAAGAAGGCAGCACGGGAGGTACCGACCACAGGCACTGACTTGGCTCTGCTCTACTGGAAGGGAGACATGAGGCAACAGGAAATGGGGGAAGAGCTTTATTCGGGTCTGCTCCTCTCTGCCTTTCTTATGCCCAAATCCTGCTACAGTATAATCAAAGGATGGATATTAAATTCCTGCCTTTTAATCACTACTTTTCATACACATGGTGCTACATATGAAAAAGTCTGTGATTAAAGAGCTGGCAGTTCCAAGGTACATTTTTAATCAAAGCAAAACAAATATTTTTTTTAAATCCAGGAGCCTATGACTAAATTTGTATAAGCCAAATATATCTTTACACTGCTCATGGTCCGTAACAGAGCAACACCTGCTGTAAAGAAAAGAACAAGAAGCTCCTCTCCCTTCCTTTCTTCTCCTTTGCCATATCTTTCCAAGACTAAGTACTATTTTGCCTTTGTTGTCTTCAGGGAACTCAAGGCTATGCAAGTTCACTATCAAACATAGTTTGTAGGAATTCCTATTAAAATTCATAGGAAAAATGCATGAAGGTGTTAATTGTATGCAAATTCCACTGCAATACCAGATCTGTGCATAACTTCTTGTAAGTTTCAGTTCGTATATGTTCTGGTATGAGGCCCTAAACTGCATTACTGCATGTAAATCACCATATGGGGCTTCAGGTTGTTGGATCAAGTCATCTACAAGCGCTAGATGTTGCATTCAATTTTTTGAGACACAAAATCACATGCTATCTAAAAGTAGGATTAGGCTATCACTCTGAAGAAGGGTGAATCAATAGACTTACTCATATCCTTAAGGTTATCCAGATGAATCAGCATCTTAGATATTACCTGAATTTATATTATTTCCATTGTTTGTTGCCCTGTGGGTGTTTCAGCCACACAGAAGTAGCTAATGCACAGCTGCCTTATGGCACACCAATTTCTTTCCAAAAGAAATTTGGAAGCTTTTAAACAGGTGCATTTTTGTGTTTGGAAAATGAAGAGGAGAGAGAAATAATAATAAAGTGTTTTTATGCAAACTATTATACTCCTTGTAAAATGCAAGTTAAGAGTCTGTTCCAAATACTGATATATGCAAAAAGTGTCATTCCAGGCAAGCAGAAGAGCAGACATCATCACCCAGCACGCACCCACAGGTTGCACTCCCCTTCTGGCAGTAGCCTGAAACCACCACAGTCATTGGAGTCAACCTTCAGGAAGCCTAAAGTGGCTTAGAAACCACGTGTTTTGGACTAAATTCACCTGTTGGTTATTAGAGCACTGCAGAGAAAACAGTGCGGTACCGCTGTTAAAAGGAGGATTTTGAAAGCAGTATGTGGCAGAAGATTTTCACTACACTCAAAACAACACATACCTACCTAAGTACACAAGCTTATAAAGAAACCAGAACATTTACTATGGAGTCACTTATGCAACCTCTGTATGTTTAGTCATAGACAAAAACACTGCATCCATCTGTCATGCTGGATCAAATAACTGATCTATCAAATCTAATAACTACTTCTGGAAAGCAGAAGAAAGACAGACTTGCTTAATGGCAACCTTTAAAGATCCAGTCTCTCTTTTCCACTCTGTGTCAGAGAGGAGAACTTAGGCCCAAAAAGCCTGCAGAGGCATCCACTACCCGCTCAGGCCTCTCAAAGCTGCCATACAGCAAAGGCTACAGAAGGACAGAACTATAGAAGGAGCCCCCGGAGAGCCTCACTCCAGGCTGGTAGCATTATCGCACCTCAGGCCTTGCACATCTGCTGCTAACAACACCAAAGCAGCAGCAGCACCACAGCCACCAGCAGGACACTGCAGCCATCTTTTCCTGCCAGAGCTGACTGTGGTCTGCACTCCTTTAAAGGCTGGCAAAGTGGTGGCCGTTATGGTCGTTAGGGCCCTTATGGCGCAGCCCTTGGGGTCATTAGGGTTTGGCCATGGGGGCTGCTAGGGGTATAGCCCCCAGGTGTGGGGAGAGGCAGGCTCTGCATCCCCCCAGACAGCTGAAGTGGCAGCTCCTCCACCTTATGTGCTCTTAAAGTCCTCTCGGCGCCTTGCCATGCTGCTCTGGCACTCTTGTGAAGTGCCCAGAAAGCCTGGCCAAAGCAAAGCAAAGCAAAGCCAAACCCCACCTCTGATTTTTTCGGTGAGGGGTCACACAAGTGTGCGTGCCCAGAAGATAAACTTCAGGGGTCTGCATTGCCAGGCCTTGCCCCTGCAGCCTCGGCAGGCACTGAGGCTACCAGAAATATTCCTACAGACAAAGGTGTTTTAAATTTTTTCGTAAGCATCCTGTGATTCAGTGACTTTGTACAGGTTGATAAATCAGTGTTTTCCAAGTATTTCTGATTACAACATTTTACTGACTCAGCTAATAATTATTGCATCAATCATTTTCACAAGCTGTTTCTGAATAAATTAAAGTACAACTTAGCTGTCTGAAAAATGCCTCAACTATTCCAAAAACACTATGTTTTGTTTTTGTTAATATGCAGCCTTTTTTTCTAACTTCTAAATCACTGTCAGACATCTTATTTTCTCCAACTTTATCTAACAGAAGTGACTTTGTGAATTGCTAATTGTACGAACTGTATGAGATTTGACTTTTGTAAAGCCTGAGGGAGGATAATATATTGTCTTAATGGTTAAGTAATTAGCAGAATATTTGAACAAACAATTCAAAGACACTAAAGTTTTCTCCAGTGAAATACCAGCGATTACGCAGAGAAATGCTGCTAATTTAATTTGCTTCATGAATGATAACACGTCTATAAATGTCCTCTACTGTAACTCTATCAGGATTTGGCTGTAATGTTTTAAAGCTATGGAAAGTGTGTAATATCAATAATTATATATTTAATACAGGACTTTTAATTTTGTTTGCATGAAGCGGGAATGCCTGTGTGAGCTGTCCTCAAGCCGCTGGACCCCTGCCAGGGCTCTAGTCCCTGCCACAGCCCTGTGCAGCAGTCGCAGCTCCATCACGGACCGCGCGGTCCTTCACCAACTCCAACCCACGGGCTCCCACCTGGCCCGGCCTCTGTGTATCCTGTCAACAGCGCCCAGTGCCCAGGGCTGGAGCAGCCCCTGGTGCCCTGCGCCCTCGTGGGGCAGGGATCACTCTGGCCTTTCCACATGGATCATTGGATTCCTGGCGAGAGGCACATTGCTTTTAAGAACCATTTTTGAATTGCCTGTTCCAGTAAATAAGGTCATGGGTAAGTTACTACAAAATGCAGTTGTCATCTCTCTTGCAGCAAAGTCCTTATTTTTTTGAGACTGTAATGCCTATTAAGTTCTTCTGAAATGTGGGAACTATTCTGTATAGGAATTAAATCTGGTAAATGCAAACACTATGGATATCTTAATAGCTGTAAATCTT